AATGCACACACAAGTCGACGTTATGGATGCCATACTTTTTATTGTGCTGGATAAAAGGCAGTGAATATCTATAAAGACTTTGTTTAGCAAGCACGCACAATTTGCTCAGAAAAAGAAAGACAGTAATAATATGTGGATAAAGGAAGCGATAAAAGTTAGATAATGTATAGGTTTTTGAAATTATACAGAAGGAGCGAGGAAGAGGAAGAGCTGAGAAATCTCTTCCTCTTCCCTCACAGCTAACTACAAAACATTGCATAATGTAAGAACAATCATTTTCAAAGGTTACATGTCCAGTCTTACCTAATGGTGACTGAGAGGCAGAGAAAACAGTCTTATAAAATTCATCCCCCACAAAAATAAACTATATATATATAAAACTTTAAAATGTTCTCCATATGCTCACGGACACCTGAATTTTAAACAGTATTTAAGTTTGAAAATGAGGTAAAAGTAGGCCATTATGGAGGTAGTAATGTGTATTCGATTGTACTAGAACGTGATGTCATGAAGAGAAACTTCATTAAGACTCCCAGAGGTGGAAGCTCGTAAACAGCTTCTACAATCAATCTGTCCAACAGCGAGGTAGCATCACCTCCAGAGAACTTCAGCAGGTGTTTCAGTTTCTACTCGAGGTCAGATCTCTGGAGGAAAATGACACATTTCAAAAGCTTGTACCTTGGATCTTGAGGAGCTCAGTGGTGTCATTTTTGACCCACAATTTACACTTGGTATTATTATGTGTGAATCCATTTTGTTTTTCGTAATCCAGATAGATTACATGTTAATACCAGGTCTAAAAGGGGTCTTTCTGGCTGATGGATGTGGTGTTAAATGATGAAGGCTGTCTGTTTCAAAGACATGCAATAAAGATGCTGATCAGCTGCATCACAGTTTATACAGCAGCTTGTGATCCTCACTGTTTAGATTTGTTTGATTACTAGACATATTATTTCCTGCACAGTGTCTGGATAAAAGTCATTTTAGGCAATACCAATATTTTACTGACTTGACGGTGTAGTCCATCCAGACTCTTCACATCGATCAAATACTTGTAAAATCGTTCTAAAATGAGATATGATTCATCTCTGTTTGTTTGTGGGTGTTAAGTCTAGATTAATCCTAGCACAAAGATTGAGAAAGTCTGAAAACAACTTTATGGTCCAGAACACTGTGCAGATGGTTGGTTAGTGTGAGTTTACCACTGCTCCATAAGTGCCATGCTATTGTTCTGACTGATTTTTTCTGAAAACCAAAACAAACCTGAGAACTGTACCAATGGACCAAACGCTAGTTTATCCAACAGCCTGTATCCTGAGAACAGATGGCCATTGTATTGCCAAAGTACCAATATCACTCCTTTTGCCTAAACCTAAGCAACACAACCAACAAAGGCAATAGCCAATTGGAGGGAGAGAAACATTGGGAGGGTCAAATGATGCTATTCTGCATAATATTTAGCCATTTGTTTCAGTTTGTAGCAGGGAGAATCTTTCGTAAAAACGGGCCTACTGGTGAAGCTGCCTTCACATGATTCAGGGTCTGTTCTTTGCGCAGAGTTGGGCGCTTCGTACAGCTGTTACCTGATTGGTTGCGTGTTGAAAGGTCAGGTCAAAGTTTAAATAACTTGAACTGTGAGCCCAGTGTTCGGCGACAATTTGGAGCGGTGCGCAAAGCAGTTTTGTCACATATCTAGTGAAGGCAGCTTAATTTTGGGGGGATAATAGGATGTTGGACGAATGGGCTCTTGGTCTAATGTGACATCTTTCAGACTTTCAGGGTTTCAGAAATAAAGGACTGTCAGAACATCTGACAGTCGCCGTTTACCGTACAGGTGTTGCTGATGACGGCACGTTGAAAGGATCGATGTAGCTCCTCTGAGGCTCTACCTTAGGCCCAGTTTAAAAAAAAACATCTTAACGTTTCAAAGGTTGACATGATGACAGGGGAAAATTGTATAATCCATCACTAAGTACAAAGCAATTCCATATACATCTGGTTTAAACCATATCACAAGAAAAGAAAATCACATTTGTGTCAAGTACACAAAACAACTAATCAAGTATATTGATATCTACTAATTAAAAACAAGAAAACATATTCATGAATACAATATACAAAATCCAAACATCTGTTTCAAAACCTGAAGTCACTTTGAAGGTGAGAATCCAAATGTACTGAGATTTGAAGCTTGATCTGATACTTTAAGTAAGGAGCTTCTGCAGTCCTGATATAGATCATATCATACATCAATGTAACTCATACAGAAAGTAAAGAGACTGGAGGTAGGTATTTTTCTATTGAATAGTCCATTTTTAGCGGTCTGTTTGAGGTACTGTACATACAGTATGTAGGTATAACTCAGGAAAAAATAACTAACTATTCAAAGCCAAAAAAACATGTCGTTTCATCACGCAGTGTTGTACAAACACTCGATCCTCAATAAACCGTTGTGTAAATCGGAACCAAATAAATTCAAGTTAACAGTTTGTCAAAAAGAAGTCCCAGTTTGCAGATAATGCTAAATATGTTTCATTGCAATGTTAAGATACAAATTAAAATTAAAGTAAATAAGAAATAACAATACGTAATATGTTAGCTGCTTTTTTGTTTTGTTTTTTTTAAGTATAAAAACACAGATCACTGAATCAATGCCATGTCCAAAAATCTCAAAAGAAGAAAATGTCAGGCCAGTCAGAGCCAAGTGATACTTATTGGCTTGATTGGTGTTTTTTTAAACAGTAAAATTGACATAATTTTTTTTTAACTAGGGGCGTTTTCAGGTTTTCGCTTTAAAAATGTGCTTCAAATGATGTGAATAAAGCTTAACGCCACCACTTTAGGTTTAATATGGTAAGTTTTGTCACCTGTGTGGATGAGTTTTAATATTCTTCATATCCTCGTAAACTTGTAAAAGCACTGCCTTGGTCTGTCATACCCAAAAGGAAAGAGGGTCAAAAATAATTTTCCTTTTATGTACATGGCTCTGTCAAATCTGACTTTTGCTTCTTTATGGATGTCGTAGTCTTTACCTGACTGAATCAAACATAACAGTTGCAGACATCTTCCTGTTCCTCCATGACAAGTCTACAACCAACTGGGATGACCTTGCTTTAATGTACAGTATAAAGTTCCAACACAAATATCTGAACTTCCCAGGCATCTATTTGTGTGTTCATTAGCTGGTTGTGCTGAGTCAGAGGTAGTTTGAAATCATGATAAGATATTGCATTTCAGTGACCAGAAAGCGCTGGCATACCATCAGGTTACCTCGAACGTAAGGCTTCCTGGAGTTACATTGCGTAACATCCAACGTCACGCTGCCACTAAATCCAGGTATCAAGTGTGTCTTGAGGTAATGTGTGTTTTGTTCTTGTGGTTTTTGTTTTTAAAGGTTTAAGGTTTTTGCAAGTCTGTGGATTTTTTTGCAGTGTGACATCAATGGTTAAATTGAGGTTTTAAAGCTATGTTGCGCAAACTTAACGAAGCTATGTACACAAGCCTGAAAATGTAAATGTGAACAAATGCTATACAGTAGTCTGATGCAATGTTTGGTAGTGGAGGATGTGAAGAGGTTCTATGGTTTCTAGAGCAGTAAAAGAGGCGTGGCAGTCCACCAACAACAGGGAGAGCAAAGCAGAACTCATGTAGAATAAAAGTTCTGGTCTTTAAGTAACACTGACACCATACTGGAGGGACCGCCGGACTATGAACTCTCATTTGGACAATAACCTTAATAATTGATCGAACATTCTGTAAAATGGTCTACCCAAAGAGGTCCTTTTTTTTTTCTATGCTTATACTGGCCCAATTTTTTTAGAATCTTAAAGGTCACCTATTATGCAAAATGCACTTGTTCATGTCTTTTCTACATCAACATGAGTCCCCTCTGTGTGAAGAGACTCTGAAAGTTTCAGAAAAAAAGATTCTCTCTCTTTTTGTCCTGATCCATTTATATAAAAACCTGTCTGAAAATGAGCTGATCAGATCTTGGCCACTTTATGATGTCATAACGATTTGTTGGGTTGTGTAACCATTAGCCAATAACCAAATATCTCTCAGAGGGGCGTGGGGGAGGGGGTTCCTTATTTTCATCTAAAGTAACAGACAGAGAATCAGCACTTTTGAAACAGGGCTGAAACAGAGGGGATTATGGGATGCTGCAATGATCTGTTTGGTATTTCGAGCCAAACACTTCAGAGACATGTTTTGTATATATCTGAGACCTATAATATATTGATGAGAAACAGTATAATAGGGGACCTTTAAAACGGTAAAAACGGTGTGGACCAGGGTAGAAGTTCTTATATTTGCTTTTCTAAATAAGGGGAGGGGATTAAAAAGTTTCCTTCTAGTTTTCAACCCTGCTCATATTTCAAGTGAGCGGTTTGGGATTTGATGTGCCCAATTACTTATGAATACCAATAGGACCTACACAGAGCTTTGTGTCTCCCTGTGTTGCGTGGTCCAACACTAGTATGGATGATATATATTGGAACAGCAGAAAGTTGTTCTCAATGTCTGTATGATGAAACCAGCCTCTTTTTTCTGCAATCAACGTCTGGAGAATCAGTCAACAATGTCAGGGTGTGTGAGAGAGTGTGTGTATCAGTCTGAGAGATGCAGTGGCCTTATGATGCACCACCTAATGCTATCACTCTATTATTAATATTATTGTATCCGTTCTTTTTTAGTGTATTCTCATTGAGGAGTGTAAGTGTGATGACATGTATGTCTTTTCTTGATTCTATCTTTTAAACAAGCAGAATGTATGAAGCAGATTGTTTTGCTTCGTTTTATCTGTCAAGCCAGTTATCTGTTCTGTTTCTTTTTTCAAGGTCTATGTCAATATGTATCAAGGGAGCTAAAGAGGCAGATATAACTGAACATATCTGCCTGTTTGATGGCTGAGCAAAGATGGAAATTCTCTAACTGAAATTAAAACAAGTAAAATAATGTGGAAAAGGTCAAAAACAAGTGGTAAAGGCAGTCTTTTCCCTTTAAAAGACCTGACAGCTGAATGAGGTAGAGATTTCATGGTGTGGTAGCTTAGTCCTCTTGTGGGGAATCTCCAGCCTCTTCATCTTCTTCTTCTTCTTCTTCCTCTTCTTCCTGTAAATAGAAACAAGGTAGTCCATGTAATTTACCCTCTACACCTCTGACAGACACAACTCAAAATCATTCCAGAAAAATTCGAGAAGATTTTGCAACCATTTGTCGACCACATTAATAACAGTGCTCCAAACCTTCCTACAAATACATAGGTGGACGTGATAGGGACGGATGTGAAGTGACAGTGACCTTTACCATTGATCTTTAAAAATAAAATGCATCAATCAAACTTCAGTGCATCACAACAAAAGGTGTTGACCTGAGGAATAACAGTAATGATGAGCTGAAATATTGTACAAGTTTATCTAAACTAAAACTATTATTTAGAAACCAAATCAGTAATGGTTATGAGCAGGACCTGTGAACCCACTTGTTCTTTCTTGTCATTTTAAAAGTTCTTTATTTGTTGGTTGTTTTGTAAAAACAAATCTAATCTTTCATTTTAAAGAAAAATGTACGGGGGTAGGACCAGAAAAGTTTTTTAAAGCTTCTTCTTGCCCTTGTTGAACATGACAGAGACTATTTGAGAATGTATTTATTTTAATTTGTTTGTAACTAGAACGTTTAGTTTTTGCCTCTTTGTTATAATTATTATTATAAAAAAAGAAAAACTAATTCTGACATGTTCAATAAATGTACTAATAAAAGAAATCAAAACAATTAAAGTGGAGGCTTGAGCAAAATTTGAAGAAATTCCCTCAGGGCAAGCTTAAAATACTGCAGTACCTCGGACTGAAGGAGGGACAACCCAAAACCTAATGCCTACGTCCAGGCAACACCCATGGTAGATACAAAAAAAGAGGAGGACCACAACCAGAGCAGTTCAGGCACTTCATATGGTTAATGAAGTAGCTAAATTCATCTTAGTCTCAAAGTGAATGGTTCATCTGGCAGGAAATGACCATGTGCATGATTGGACACCAACCATCTGCAATAGTAAATGGACTCAGTACAGCAACCATGGCTCCCTAACCCTAAATAACCCAGAACAAGTGCTGCTTAGTTTTCTAAAGTGCATGATGACCACTGTCACAACTGGGGAGGGGAGAGGAAACACCTCCTCCCTCTTAAGAAGAAATGCATTTCATTTTCCACATGGCCTCATTTTATTCAGGGAGGCTAACTGACACAATTTATAACCCTCTTCCTTTCCTAGGCTGCGGCGGTGCAACACCACCTCCATTCATTAGTGCTCACACACTTCAGTCTTTAAAGGGCCGCTAAATGCTACCATGTGTAACAAGGGCAAATGGGAGCACAGGGAAAAAAAAGGTGGTGGTAGCAAGGGTGGGGGAGAAAAAAATAAGTTGCAATTATATTCCCCCCTGCCGACACCTACACCATTTCACACACAGGAAAAGATAACTATGGGTAGCCTGTAATTTAAACATCCTAGTGATGGTGTTTACTGCCAAACTATTCCGTTAAAGCGTTTAATTTTACAAAAACATCCACTTCAGGATCAAGGCTTGGTTGGGTTTAAGGGACGTTCTGACGGTTTGGTGGGACAAGTCGTCTGACCATGCCTGAACAAAAGTGTCCGTAGTTGTTTATATCCCTTTCGGACAACCCTTTTTCAAAAAGGCATTCATAGTGTTTGTACGGTACATACGAAAAAGTATTTACCAAATATCATTAACTTTGAAAGCGCCACACACCTACTAATCGGTAGAGAAGGGAAAGCAGTCTCTTGCTATTTGACGGAAAGTTAGCAACACTTTCTTGGCTCTGTCTATCACTTCCAAGTAATGCCTTTGTAGAGTCTCCAGTTCGCTCTTCACCTTACAGTACTCCTAAGGTGTTTCTCTTATTTGAATTTCCTCATGTCTTTGTTGAATAATGAAGTAGACTCAAACAACTTTCCATAACTTGTTAAGCCTAGAGCTAATCGGCATCTGTTTGCCTCTTTTTTAATCTTTCCATTGACTGTGTATGCATTTTGAAATTGAGCGTCAACAGTTTTTCTGGATTTCCACTGATTGACTTTAACCCTCTTCTAGGGCTGCTTGATTACGGCAAAAATCATAATCTCGATTATTTGGGTCAATAATTGATATCACGATTATTAAAAACGATTATCCATTTACTTTGAAAACATCAATTTATTTGAGAATTTTTTTTTGAACAGTATGCTTTTAACAGTTGATTACCCTGAACTTTAAGTATAATTCAACTGAAAAACCAATACAAAAAAATAATAAAAAAATAATCGTTTTATTTCGATTACGTTGTTTTCGTAATCGTTGCAAGCCATAATCGTAATTGCGATTAAAATACGATTAATTGAGCAGCAGTTATGAGTTTCCCATAACTGTCACATGCCATAGCTGTCTTTAAGTACGCCATAACCTTATGATGTTGAAGGTTTGGGGTAACTGCTGTAAAGATTTAATTTAGTTGTTCTTAAGACGTAAGCCACTATAGGGAGATCCTGGTTTTAACCCTTCAACTACACCCTGGTTCTCAACTAAACAAACCCATGAAGAGGAAATAAGTAAATAAAGTTTGTTTCTACAACTGGTTGGTGCAGATAGGGCCAACGCTGGCACAGATTCTTCAAGAGCCCACCCATGTCATTCACACTGTTTACTAGCCTTATTCCGAACACTGTGTTATTTTAACTAAAAAAGGACGTATAGGAACATGTAAAGATAGAAGTCCTGGTTGGTAGCAGGAGCTGAAACTTGAATGGGAAACTATGCCATGTGCATGCTGTAACTTTCTGTTGGGTCGTGTATCCACCCCACCCCGAGCACTGGAATGAAAGGGGTTTGAGGTTTTGTACAGGCAAGCGGTGGTGGGGCTGAGATAAAGCAGCCTATCAAAGTGGGAGAGCTAAATTACATTTTTATGGTTTGCAGCTCCCAGGGCCTCACAGCGCCTCCCAACTACCTCAGTCCTGTTCCCACACAGCCACAAATCAGAGCGGAGTTATGCATTCACACCAAGAAGTGGCCCGCACCAGTGAACAGAGGGAGGCTGGTGGATTCCTGGAGTGTGAGGGAATGCTGGGGGTTGGGGTCCTGTGTCATGTTGCACTCACTTATTACCATTCTGCTTTCATTCCCCCTCTGATGTACATGCTCTCACCAGCAACACAAAACGGCATCCAATTAACTGCTACCTATTAATAGTCAGACACGGAGGAAGTGTAGTTAACTTTCTCTCCAAGAGAAAAAATCTCAGGTCTTGCAAATGCCACTCCTATATTTAGGGATGTGACTTTTTCCATAGTTCTCATCCAGCTCAAAACACGTTAGCTTTAGCAACAGGATGAGTTAATTTTGCAGCAACTATACAGATGTTGTCAGCCTTTGAGGCACTCGACAAGAACCATTTTTCCATCACTTCCATTGATAGGAAAACGAGTACACACAATATAACGAAAAATATGAGACCTACAAACCATCAAAACCAAATTTGGATGTAGCTTGGAGTTGTTATTAGCACTAGGAAGGAGTTTAAGGGAAGGTGAATGTGTTGCATAACTTCACCATGTGGAATACTCTTAACCCCGGACAAACAAGGAGACATTTTCATGTTTTTGATCATTCCTTGCAATAGTTTGGGCCATTTGTAGGAGGTTCCTGTGGCTAAGGAGGTAGAGGAAGTTGTCCATTAGTTTCTGGGATGAAGGTCCGACCCCCATCTCCTCCAAACTGTCCATGGTCAATTGCTCAACCCCAATTGCTTCTAATGGTTAGGCCATAAATTGTATTGTACAATCATGCCATTTAATCACTAGCTCAATTTACCCAAACTCCGAAAGACTATGAGCAAGCAGTGTCCAGTATTTGTGCATGTAGCCTAAATTAAGCTAACATTTGTCAATTAAAAGTAAACAAGCAATGTTTTGATTTACAGAATGACATTTAGTGGAATAAAGTGTGTGTGCAGGTGTGTGTGAGGGTAAATAAATGAGTATCTTACCTGAGCAAGCTTTTTCTGGACGACTTGCTGTGGCTGAAAGAGAGTAGAAGAGAGGCAAGTGTTGTTTCTCAACTTTAATATCATTAACAAGAATACAATGTTCATAGCTGTCATTTCACAAAAATGTCACATGGTTGCTAGGCAGAAGGAAAAATGACTCCACTGGAAATGAAAAGGTAAAAACAGAATTAAACCGGGATAATGTAGGATGCACATTGTGTCTTGGCCCTGTATTTTAACTCTACAATAACGACATAATGCAGTGATTGATAATTCAAGAGTAGAGTTAATTGACGATTGCCTCAAATCTGACAGCACAATTAATACATTCACATCAGACCTTTTTAATACCTTGTCTTTAAGACATCTGTAAATATAACAGATATCATAAAGGATTAGCAACCTGGATTATACCAATGTGTTCAAGTATCTCTACGGTTAATACAAATGGTATTTACAGTAGGGCCCATGTTGACCATTTTCTAATACTGCCTTTTCTAAATGGCCATATTCATAGGAAGCTTGCTGCAATAACCTCCCCCTTGCCACATAGCACTGATAGAGAGACTTCTGCTGTGACTTTACTACGCAGAGTGCTGATCATTGACATTTTTGATATTATTGTCAATGTGTTATCGACCATAATTCCATTGGTAATCAAAAGAGTTTTGAGGCCACATACACAGAGGGATTTGAACCTCCCCTCAGCCTGTTCAGTAATAGAGTTATTAAACAGTTTAATGATTATAGGCAAAGGGCCAAACAGAAGCAGCAGCACACCACAGGAATCTAAGCAAGCACACAGAGCAAGAATACAAGACACATCCTCCACTACAACTTCTTCACCACTTTGGCATATACGTGATTCACGAAATGATAAATGGCCACAGGTGAGAAAACCCCAACATACCCAAATGGAATAATAATTTGCTACAACAAGTTTTAATAGTTCCTCCACCACATTTGCTTGTTTAAGTCTTGTAGGCCCTCAAACAACTTGTAGATAAGGCTTTTCATGCTGACCAATCATCTCACACAACTGCACAGGAAGTAGATCTGGACAAGAGCTG